TTATTTATTTTCTTACTATTATTTTTATAAAATTAATAATTCTAATAATAAAAAATATTAAAATACACTTAATTGCTTTTAAACATGTTTTTATTAATCATTTAACATTAAACAACAATTGTTAACTATTGTATAATTAAACAGTTACATCAATCAAGATATTCTATCTACTATTCATTGCTCATTTTTTGCTATTTGTCACCCATTATTCGCCAATTGCCTCCCACTGCTTACTATCATTATCCACTATCCATTACTCGTTTCCTGTTATTTGTTAAAATTTAACTGATATATCAAATAGGCTCTAAACCTTCAGTATCTAAAAATCACATCGGGTCCCTATTAATTTAGAATCAAGTTAACTCAGATTTCATAAAACCTATTTGTCAATTCACAAGATTCGAATTTAATACTTTGTTTAAGAGGATTTGAGTTACTTCAACTTAGATTAATAGATCGTTATTACAGCCCTAATTTATTTGCTACTTGTAAGTGCTTCTGGAAATTTTGGATGCAATGCTGCAAGTGGTGGAATGTTTCCTTTGTATGCCCAGAGTCAATTAATGATTTATGTTTGCAGTTCGTGTTGGATTTATTTTGTAAAATAAGGAGTTGGGATCCCTTATTTATTGTATAGTGCTGTGGGCTATTTGGTTGGAAAGGAACAATATTATGTTTGGAGGGGGTCAGTGGAATGAAGAAAGATTGTTTGAGTTCATGCAGAGATTAAGTCTATTATTTGGATCAAAGGAAAAACGGAGGGATTAGCTTTTTACTTTTAAGTGATTGGATTCAGTTTCTTTTTCAATGCTGTGGGAGAAATTGTAGTTGAAACTTGTAGGAGATTTTCTGGGAATATAAAGTTTGATGAAAAGGGTTAAGGTATCTCCTATGTCTAAATAATAAAAAAAAATATTTATTTACTGATAAAATTGAAGAAAAATAAACAGAAACAATCAATAGATCAAGAATGAACTCAAATATATAACTACCTCTTACCTCAGAATATATGAGTCTTTGTCAATTGATGGTGTCGGAGCCAAATGCAGAGTGAAGAGAAATATGTGCAACGCACCAGTCTTTCTTAGAAGCTGCTAAGTGTCGGAGAATAAGTCGATCTAAAGAGGTATATATAAGCAGAACCCATTGTTAAGCCCCTTAAACTTCTCCCGTATTTTTGTGTAGTCCCCTAAGATAACTTTTAAGCAGATAACCTCCTAAACTGCGCGATAGTAAATTAGCCCCTTGTATGTAACGGCAACCGTTTATCTCCATTAATATAGCAGATGAGTCAAGCAGGTGCTGTTAGTTTC